GCTCACCGCTGGTCCAGTCTGGTGGCTTCTCCTGTCCTCCCCAGCAGGGCAGGCCTGGCTGGTCCTCAACTGAGGTTGGCTCTGGATAGAATCACCCCCAAGCCTGGACTCAGAGGAACAGTTTTTATTTCTTTAATGAGAGAGACAGGGCTGACACGAGCTGGGTTATCGTCACATCACGGTGAGCCACTTGACGCTTGCTGAGCCACGTTACACACGAGGCGCTGCGCTAGTGCCTCCCACGCATTATCTAATCCCTCAGTGGCCCGAGAGCGAGGTCTTATTCCCGTTTTGCAGACGAGGACGCTGAGACCCTGCCGAGATTGCTTGGTCCTAGGTCACCCCACAGCAGAGCGAGGACTTCCACCCAGGCCACGTCTCTCATCGGCACAGAGCAGTGTGCGGGTGGCACCTGCCCTCGACTCCGGACCGCAGGTTCCTGCCGTGCCTCACAGAGCGTCGGCGAGCCCACGCCACCTGGCTGATCTGGAGGGGGCCCGACACACCCGTCACAGTGTCCCCAAATGGGAGATGAGCTGTGCAGCATTAAAAAGTGGTTAATGGAGCCCGGCGCGGTGGCTCACGCCTGTAATCCTAGCTCTCTGGGAGGCCGAGGTGGGCGGATTGTTTGAGCTCAGGGGTTTGAAACCAGCCTGAGCAAGAGTGAGACCCCGTCTCTACTAAAAATAGAAATTAATTGGACAACTAAAAATATATAGAAAAAATTAGCCGGGCATGGTGGCGCATGCCTGTAGTCCCAGCTACTCGGGAGGCTGAGGCAGGAGGATTGCTTGAGCCCAGGAGTTTGAGGTTGCTGTGAGCTAGGATGACGCCACGGCACTCTAGCCCACGCAACACAGTGAGACTCTGTCTCAAAAAAATAAATAAAATAAATAAATAAATAAAAAATGGTTAATGGGGAAAATATTTTGAACCAAAGACTAAATGTCAGGCTGTCGTTCTCATGCGGAAACTTCTGGAGCCTCGCATTTGGGACGCTGCATCCTTCCTGCTGATGGGAGCACTCTTGTCTCCCGACGTACTTGAAAGGCATCACATACAGGCAGCGAGGCACAGGTTATCGGAGTGGGTGGTTCTGCGGGTCCTGCACCGGTTAAGTGGACACGTGACAGCACATGTTAATACACCCTTCCGAGGGTGTCCCCAGGGTCACCACAGTCCCCACACGCTGCCGGCTCTCCCCGCCCCGTTCCGGAGAGCACATCTGAAAGCAGTGAGTGAGATGATTAAGTTTTTAAAGTCATTCCGGAATGTCTCAGGAGATCCAGTCAGGAGGATCCTCGTCTCAGCTGCAGCGGCGACATGTTCCCGCCCATTTGGCTGACCTCAGAAGTGTGCTCAGGAAGAGAGAAAGGGCTTTCGTTTTTGAGGGACAAGCCTTGGGCTTTCTCCTCCTAAGCTGCGGTAAGTGTGTGTCTGCCCGTTCGCTCCTCACTGGCAGCCCCGCCTGGCCCGGGAGGCTGCGCCCGGCACGCCGCCCCCAGTGCCTTCCTCAGAGCCGCGCCTTCGAGCGCAAGACGCGCAGCGTTCTCTCCAGGTGGGGGGATTACAGGGGTTTCTGTTGTGCTTTTCTTTGGTGGATTTTTGTGTTTTCTGTGTTACCCATTTTGATAATGTATTATTTTTATAATTGGAGAAAAAATAAATAGCATATTTTAGAGCAAAAGTTTGCCTAGGACCATTTATAACATGACGTTTAGCCAGTTCATGCCTTCCTCAAGGTGTCTGGGATCTGGGTACAAAGGAGGCGTGTGCTGGGTCAGCCACTGGGCTGCCTTCTGTTACATTTCTGCCCATGTGTCTCGTTAGCTCGGCAGACATAGCTGCTGTGGGAGAGGGGTCCCCTCGTGTTGGGACTGGCCAGTTCCTGCTGACCCTGGCCCAGCCACCTGTCAGCAGTTAGTACTAACCCCCCTCCCCTAGACTCCTCCCCTATCCCCTCTCTCTCCTTCCCCCTCTCCCCCTCTTCCTCTCCCCTGTCCTTCTCTGCCTCTCCCATGCCAGATGTCCGAGCATCAGGCTACCACTTCTCCTGTTTCCCATCACGTGGAGCCAGAGCTGCCTCATTGATCATCTTCAAGATTCCTGAAATTGGACGTGACCTGTGTCTGCCTGGCCCCTTTCTGGAGGACGAGACCCCGTTTTAGGATCCCTCGGTCACCCCACATGGGACCTCCTAGATTATAGTAGACCAAGCCCGTCACAATAGCTGCTTTCGTTCTCTGTGGGTGATACTGTCTTCAGCATTTGGATCAGGAATGAGCATGTCTCCTCTGGCTAACAAAATGTTAGTGTGGGTGGGGGCGGCTTCTGGGAAAGGTTACATCATTCCAAAGAAAAGGTGCTAGCTATCTGTTTTGGATGACATCCTGTTGGGATATGACACCTGGAACTACTACAGGCAGCTTGCAACCCAGCTATGGAGGAAGCCGCCCCTGAGCATGGCAGAGCTGAGAGCTAGAAAGAACTTGGGTCCTTGATGTCACCCTGGAACTGCTGAACCCGCCACCCCTGAGCCACCTTGCTTGCAGACCTCATGTGCTGGGAGCTGCCAAGTGTCGTAGTCGTTGGAGGCCATCTGCGTTGGGTTTCCGTTGTTTGCAGACAAAAGTATCCTTGCTGTCTCCCCCATCCGACCCAATCCCATACTGCGCAGTCATTTCTCTTGCATAGTAACCTTTGTGCAGACTGGCCTTGAGTTGGGAGCTGCTTGGGTTGGGCGTCATCCCTTCCGGCGGGTTTCCCAAGGCTTGGGCTATCCTTGTCAGACGCTCCCGGCACATTTTATGCCACTGTGTTAGTTTGCTAGGGCTGCCACAGCGCAGCACCGCAGAGGGGCTTAAACAGGCATTTACTGCCTCACATTCTGGAGGCCGGGAGTCTGATACCAGGTGTCTCAGAGTTGATCCTTCCGAGGCCTCTCTCCTTGGCTTGCAGACGGCCGCCTTCTCCCTGTGTCCTCACATGGTCATCCCTGTGCACGTCTGTGTCCTAATCTCTTCTTATAAGGACACTGACAGAGGATTAGAGCCTGCCCTGAAGACCTCGTTTTAACTCAATTACCTTTTAAAGGCCCCATCTCCAAATACAGCCGCATTCTGAGGTACTGGGGGTTGGGCTTCAACAGAGGAATTTGGTGGGGACACGGTTCGGCCTGTAACAGCAACAGGCACCTGTCTGTGGCTGCTGGGACGGATGTTAACTTGGGACTTGGGAGAAAGGAAAGCCCTATCACATCAAAGCTGAGGTTACTGGAGTTAGTTTTTCTAGAATGTCAGCAGCTGGGCAAAGCAGCCCCTTCAGCATCACACTGAGTCACCGCGGTGGCCACAGGGAAATGCCTACCCAAAGGCCAAGTTGCTGTCCTAACACAAGGCGCATTTTACTTTTCCTTTATTTCGCATTCACCCCTTAAAACTTTGTTTTTCTCTGCCCGGTGGTGAGAAAAGAGTGAGAGGCTGGGAAGAAGGGCTGAGGAGTCCTGTGTGCCGGGTGGCCGCTCGTGGCCAGTCTTTTGCCCCCTCAGGTCACTGGGTGACCCACGGATGCCGCAAGGCAGGTGGAGACCGGGCCCAGCTGCCTCATATGCTGGTGGTCACACTGAGTGGCCAGTCTCAGGCTTGGCTGGACACAGCGGGGCTTGTGCAGTTTGCTTAAATTACTCGTTTCCGGGGGCAATTTTTTTTAGACACATCTTCTCTGCCGAAGCAGAGCCTCGGTTTCCTGATATCTGTAGCCTTTCCTTGTAACCAGTCTCGCCTCTAGCAGACAGGCAAAGACAGGTGGATTTGTGGCAAAGGACCTGTGCTGGCCGCCTGCCCCACGCCCTGCGAGCGGGTCTTGCCCAGGGATACAGGAAGCAGGGTGGGGTGTTCAGCTCTGCCTGAGGAATAAGGGAACGAGAAGGTGAGCAGGGAAGGCTTCCTGGAGGAGGTGGCCTTCACACCCTGAGCTTTGTGAGCTTTCATCTGACCTCACGCCACCATGGAGAATTCTCTTCCGCCCTCCCTGAAAACACCAACGTTACCTGGGGATACCAAAGACTGTGAGTGACACGCGAGTCCGTCTGATTCCCGCAGTTATTCTGGTCCTTGATGGATGAAGTGAGGAACTGGTTTGCGACGACTCAGGAAACCGAAGTTGCTG